AATGGGGATGTAAAATGGTTTAACTTGCCATGAAAAACAATATTGCAGTTCCTCAAAAAATTAAACATAGGCCCTATGTGGTGGCTCGAACCTGTAATCCTAGCACTCTGGGAGTCTGAGGAAGAAGGATTGCTTGCACTCAGGAGTTCAAGACCAGCCTGAGCAAGAGTGAGACCCCCATCTCTACTAAAAATAGGAAAACTAGCCAGGCATTATGATGGGTGCCTGTAGCTCCAGCTACTCGGGAGGCTGAGGGAAGAGGATTTTTGAGCCAAAAAGTTTGAGGTTGCTGTGAGTTATGATGTCATGGCACTCCACCCAGGGTTGACTGAGTGAGACTCTGTCTCCAAAAAAAAGTTAAATATAGAATTACCACATGATCCAGCAATTTCACTTCTGGGCACATACCTAAAAGAATTGAAAGCAGGGACTCAAACAGATATTTGTACATCTGTGTTTATAGCAGCACTATACAAATAGCCAAAAGGTAGAAACTACCTGGCTAGTAGTTTGAATCCACTAGATGAATGGATAAACAGACTGTGGTGTATGTGGCTTGTTACAAAAGTAACACAAAAATCAAGAAATGTAAAATCCATAAGAACAGAAATAAATGAAGCCCTCCCAGCAATGCCAGTAAGTCCAGCATGTTGAAATTACATCCATGAATCAAAAAGGATGCTGTCAACTATGTTTCTTGGAAGTGAAACAATGGATCTACCACAGTCTGTCTCAAAACTTTCATAGTGACCTACATATAAGTATAATGAAACGTTATTCAATCTTAAAAAGGAAAGTAATTCTGACACATGCTGTGACATGAACATTGAGAACGTTATGCTAAATGAAAACGTTATACTAAATGAAACAACACAGTTGCAAAAGGACAAATATGTGAGGTAGTTAGAATAGGAAAACTCATAAAAACAGAAAGTAGAATGGTGATTGCCAAAGGAAGGGCGAGGAGGGGAATTGGAAGTTAGTGGCTAATGGGTATAGAGTTTCAGCTGGGGAAATGGTGACGATGGCTGCACAATGATATGTATGTATTTATGCCACTAACTATAAACTCAAAAGTGGTTCAATAGTAAATATTATGTTTTGTGTATTTTACCACAATAAAAAAAGTCAAATTTTTTTTTGAAGTTTCAAAAAAGATGTTGAGCAGTGTTTTCAACCTTTATTTTGTTATTACCACTCTGAGAAGACTTCTTAGGCAGTTTTTTCTAATCACTCTTTCCCCCATGAACTACATAGTAACACAGACACACTGTAAATCTGTTTATGTGCTGTGGCCCTTTGGAGGACCACAAACCATTGTAATAATGAAGATCTTTTTGCCCCCTCCAAGAACCAACTTTTGCCCCATTTAAGACAGCACTGCCCCTGCTGAGAATTTATAACATAGAGTTTCACTGGCACTGTACAATGTTCATTCATGCCCCTACCCAGTTAATCTCCAGTGCCCTCCTGGAGGCAACTACTTTTCTGATCTTTTTCACCATAGATTAGCATTGGGTAGATTTTCCCTAGTGGCTGGAATTATACATCATACTCCCTTGCATCTGATTCTTTCACTCAGCATAATGTCTGTAAAATTCCTTAATGTCTGTGTTGCTGCATGTTTCAGTAATTTATTTTTGTTGCTAAATAGGATTCTAATTGCATGAATATATCACAATTTGTTTATCCATTAACCTGTTGACAGACTAATTTTATGACTTTACCTCCACACCACAGTGAGGCCTGGGCCAAGCCTTCTTCACCCTAAAGCAGCAGATGTGAATGAAGGAATTGGAGGCTGATGGATGAGTGAGTGATAAAGCACCTGGAAGAAGATGTAGGCAGGTGCATGTGACACTGCAGCCAAGGTGCATGTGACAACCATCCATCCATGGTTGTCAACCATAGACAACCATGTGTCTATGGTTGATGCTGGGAGGCCTAGAGGGCTGTGGGTTAAGTAAGACAGAGGGGGGAGCAAGGCCAAGACTACTCAGGACCTGCAAGTGTGTTAGACAGGAAAAGTCCTGAGCAGACTGGTTCTTTGAAATGACTCTGGCTGCTGCCTGGAGAGTGGAGACAGGAAAAGTCCTGAGCAGACTGGTCCTTTGAAATGACTCTGGCTGCTGCCTGGAGA